GAGTTTGGACTTTATTCCAAGGCCAATGGGGAGCCTCTGATAGGTTAAACAAATGAGTGACATGACCAGATTTGAGTTCTAGGATTATTCTGAGTGGATTAGAGGGGAGGGGAATGAATAGAGGGCGGAAAGGATGGTGGCTTGAACTAGAAAGATGGCAGTGTTTGTAAAACATCTCCAGGTAGGGTGGGGTGCCCATCAGGCTAACAGAATGCTTTTTTTCCTGGAGTCTGATTATTTATTAACTTCTAAAGGAGGTTCCCATTCTCAAAACCTTTACTATTGCCTTCACAGAGTCGATGAGGCAGGCGTGGGAACTTACAGACAAATGCACCATGAAGTCACAAAAAGGAAAAAACACAAAGGAAGGGTCCTCCCCTGTGATTAGGAGCCTGGGATTATGGGTTCCTGACTTCTCCCAAAACTTTGGGGGGGAAATGATGTATGGATGCACTCAGCGGGGAGAATGAGACACAGAAAGGTGACATTCCTCTAAAAACAGGTCAGAGGCCATAAAAGTATTATCACAACATGATATGAAGAAATGGACTTATGGAAGAAATTATTTTCTTACAGGAGACAGAAATATTTTAATTAATGATTCTACAGCCCTTTTACCTTAAGGAGGGGGTTTATTTAGAAAGCTTGAGTTGTAAATACACTAAGTGGAATTACAAAACTGTCATCTCCCTCTGGGTTCAATTAATCAATCATCAAGCATTTTGTTGAGCAAATAAAGACATAAAGAGAGGCGTCAGAAATACAGTGATGAGTTAAAATTGACATGGTTCTTATTTATGTCAGCTTCCAGTTCACTGAAGAAGCTGAGAGTCTAGACACACACGTGTAATCACATATGATTACACAATTAGAATTTAAAACTAACACTGTAATAAGACCTACACAAGAATGATACATCTACTATAAGAACTTATAAGAAGAGGATTAGGCCAAGACAGTAAGTTAGGGACGTGAGGACTGAACTGAAAGTAGAAGAATGAATATAAATGAAATGGACGAAGGAGAATGGAAGAATCATGATAAAGTGAATTAACTTGACAAATGGACATAGACCATGTGCCAGGTGCCGCCACCTGTGATACATGAATGAATGGAACCTGGTCTGTGAGTTAGGAAATATGGCACGGGCTGAATCCTAATTCCTGGCAGTGAGGATCTGGTGTTACTTTACCCAAACTTTGTTTTAATCTGCAAAATAAGAAAATAACATCTATCTTTTAGAATTATAGGGAAGATTTAAAAAATCTCAAAATCCCTTAGCTCACTGCCTGGCACATAAGCAGCAAATGTGATCACATTGACGGAGTCAGTATGACGTAGCATCAGAAGCAATGTTCTACGGTGATCAAAAGCTGGATGTCCCCCTTAATATGTGGGGGTGGAGCTAAATGTCTTTGATCAGACTGAACTTGACTCCTGGGTCCAATAATTACTAGCTCCGCGACCTCCGGCAAATAACAAACTTTTTACTCTTCAGGTTTTTCATGCAAAAAGAAGATCATAGAAATATCTACCTCAGGTTTCTTG